GTTGTGTAAGGCATAGAGGTGGCTAAATCTTGAGGAAAAACCATAGTGGCACTGTGAACATCATCCCTTATCTCGTAAATACACAAATTTTAGGAAGAATGGATATAACCTACTTTTTTATGTGCTCATTAAGTGGTAAAATGACAATAGATTTATGGGTTTTCTCATATTATTAGGTAACCCAGAATAAAGATTTTAGACAATCATATTCTATTTGTTTTTCTGAATTTTAATGCTAATGTGAATCACAAACATAATTTATTCATAAGTCAGAAAGTTTTATATTATACTATTGAGAAAAAATACATTCTAATGCAACAAATGAGGTATGAAAATACTGACTGTAATAGCCTACAATTTCATGAACATTTATATGTCAGATGATTTTTCTTGGCTTTATTTGTACTAACCTTCCGTCCTGGTATTCCATTCTGTCCTACTGCTCCTGGTAACCCGGGATCACCCTCAAAATAAAAAATAGATACTACTAAGTAAGATAGACAAAATCAATACATCATAAAAATGATTAAAGAGATATCCAGTAATGCTTTAGACGCAGATAGACAATTCAGTGACTATTAGTGTAAATTCAAATTAGACTGTATGGTCCAACCTTGTTATCAAGGTTAGTTTCCTTTATTCACTCTTTTCTATCATTAAAAATGCTGAAGCAACCTATTATTGGAAATTAACATCTAGCATGGTGCTGGGTACACCATCAGCATCAAATAAACATTTGTTGAATGAGTAAAGACACCTGAAAATATAAGACTTTCTTGGTGGAAAACTTTTAAGTGATGCATCACCTCAGGAAAATAAAGATTAAATCATTCTTTTTCTTTTTCTTTCCTTTTTTTGAGACAGTCTCACTCTGTTTCCCAGGCTAGGGTGCTGTGGCATCAGCCTGGTTCAAAGAAACCTCAAATTCCTGGGTTCAGGCAATCCTCCTGCCTCAGCCTCCCAAATAGCTGGGACCACAGGTGCTCACCACAATCCCCAGGTAGTTTTTCTATTGTTTTGTAGAGATGGGGGTCTTATTCTTGCTCAGGCTGGTGTTGAACTCCTGAGTATTCTCCCACCTCAGCCTCCCAGGGTGCTATGATTACAGGTGTAAGCCACTATGCCCAGCCAAGACTAAATCATTCTGTTTTCATGCTAGACTTAATCAAATGAACATGTACACATCCAAATAGTGAAGAATATACACATCTTTAAATGCCATAATTCATTTAGACACATTTGATGTAAAAGTGGAGATGGCTTTGGTTTCTCTTTCAAATGTCACTATAAAAATAATCAGAATAAACATTCAAATTACAGCTTTCATTGTTATAGTGAGCCATAGGCTTTTGGACAAAAGACGATGGCTACTATTAGGCTAGACAAATTTCCCATTGCAGAAAGATGGTGACGTATACCCATCTTTTCAGATTTTGACTATTTTCCTAAGAGGAAAATCCCCCTGAAATGCCCAGAAACTAAGAAGGAAAGATACCTTGGCCCTTCATGCTTCCATGGGGCTCAGACTTACAGCAAACAGAATCACATTTCCACGTGAAAACATCCCCAGCGACCTTTACTGTGTGCTCCAGTTAATGGACAGCTTTCTTTTCTCCATTGAGAGTAGTAAAATTTCTCCTTAGTTGATTTTTTTTAATTACTTTATTTTTTAGAGTAGTTTTAGGTTTGCTGCAAACTTAATTGATTTTTAAGAATGGTCTCTAAGTCATCTGGAAAGCAGGACTTATGTCATTTTTATATTTGTATCCTCAGCTTCCAAAACTCATACTTTAATAAACACAGTCATATTTGTTAAGTGCCAGAATCTTTACATTCATTAACTCAATTCTCACAAATGTCTATGAGGTAAATATTATTTTTATCCCTATTTTGCAGGTGAAGAAACTAAGGTACACAGAAACTAGTAATTTATCCAGATTAATACCACTATAGTTAAGATTTGAACTTTCACAATCTGACTTAAGAGGTCATGCTCTTAATCTATTACATTATATCATGTGTTACACTGGAATATATCTAGAAATTAGGAGACAGGAGATGAATATTTCTATCTTAATTATCATTTTGTCTATTTGCCCCATTTATAAGTGACCTTTCAGAATGTATAGAAATCTAATTTACGTAAGGATGATTTTTGTATGCCTACCAGACAAACTAAGCAATGTGAAGCTTGTGGTGTCTTTTAGAAGATCAAAATGTTTTTGCTGTTATACTGGATTATTATAATTGCTAACGTCTTAACCTGGGAGAAAGTCTGCTTCCTATATAAAGTCACACTACAATTGTAACTCTTTCACTTTCCTCGGTAAAATGACAAAAATGTTAACTTTGAATAATAGCAGTGATTCCCGGAAATTTTTGATATGCCATTTGGACATAACAAAGGATAAAAACTTGGAAATAGAATACTCCTGAGAGAGGACTATCATTTACTATGCAACCAGAAAAAGAGCCATCGAGTCTGTTTTCTTCAAAGAATCGACAACAGGACGCATTAATATCATAACTCATGGTTTAATGCAAAATAAGAGGTGCTGCCAGGGAACAATACAAACTTTGTTTAGACTTTCAAAGAATAACCATGGTAGCCAGAGTTATTAAAAAAAAAATGGCTAAGTCCCTGGAACTGGACAAAATTCATGCTGAGATTTTGAAGCAAGGAAGAAAAACGTTGCTTAGGTATCTGTGTAACAGTCTTCTTAATATATGAACATCAGGGGACTAAAACTTGATCTCTTTTTTCCTTTGACTTTACTACATATCTTTGAGATGAAAGGCAACCCAAAAACTGCACCCATAATCCCATCACTCTATAATAATTGTTTTCATTTTATCCTGTCTCCTTTGAGTCTTTGTCACTTATGCTTACATATTTTCTAGCCATTATAAGCATACTGCCTAGTCTGACGTTCTGATTTTTTATTATCTTTATACCACACATTTGTTTTCAGAATGTATTCATGATTATCTTATGAATAGTTTATCATCTATCAAAGTCAGGTATAATCATTCCTTTAATCAGCTCCACACTGTTGAATACTCACTGTTTCCAATTTTTGCTATTACAGATAAATTAAATATACACTTCTGTAAACATACTCATATTTTTCCGTCAAATGACTCAATTATGATAAATTCCCTGAATTTGTTTTATTAGTGAAAGAAAACATTTTGTGGCATGAATTGGACATTTCTAAATTGCTTTTTAAAGGGGTTCTGAGTTTCATTTGCTTTCACAGGCATCTACTCTGTGCTACTTTTTCACAAATCTCTACAACTCTATAAGTATTGCATATCACAATTTAATTATTTTTTGCCTATTTTAGCAAGCACAGATGAGACCGTACTATTCAATTTTAAATTTCTTTTTTGCTCGTAAGATGAGGTATTTTCTCATGTGTTTGTAATTTAAATAGGTCATCACAAAATTTTAAAGCCACAAAGTGAATAGAGCTGTTTCCTAAATGAATCAGGAAGAATGAAAAGAAGAAAAAGTGACACGCAGAATTTTACTTTTCTAATAATTTATATCAAAAACACTATATTTGAAGTTAAAGTAGAAGGATATGGAACATTTTGATATTATCCAAACTTAGTTTCCCAGGTTGTGTAAAAGGAATGTTAACGATGACCCGCTGTACGACTGAGCACCAAAGCCAAGCTATGGTGAGCGGTGAGATGCTGATTGGCTCAGCTAGCAGTTAAACTTTCCTCTAGGTTTACTCTGGGCTGAGCGTTTGGGGATATAAAGATGAAATAGACATGACAGGTGCCTGGGTCCCAAAAGTTTATTTCTGAGTTGGGGAAAAATACGTATACATAATAACTTTAGGGGGCATTTAACTGAGTTTATGAAACTTTTTTAGCAAAGTTTTCTTGCATGAGAACTTCATGAAGTTTCATGAAGGACAGAGACTTGATGAATAGAAATCAAAGAGAAGTCTTAAGTGCAATGAACCATAAGTCATATTGTGTATTAATATATTCTAATATATGAGGACAAAAATTTAATCTGCTTCAACTAAAGTCACAAGTATATGCTACTACTATATAATAGTGAAAATGTGCATAGAGAGAAAAATATATCAGAAAGATACAGGCAAGGAAATGGGAATTAGGTTGTGTGTGTGTGGGGAGCTAGTCTCATGTTTGCTAGACAATCTATCCATCTATTTCTGAATGCATTTCATACTTACAAACACTGAGGATATTTTTAGATGGTAATAAAGAAAAAGAGCAGCTAACATCTTAACTACAGGTAGATTTATGGGTTTTCTCTACTATACTTTAAATTTTAAGGCTATTCCCAGTATGAAAATTCCCAAATGACCATTTCCATATTTAAGATGAAAATAAGTTGGGCTGACTTGTAAGAAGGATGGCTTGTTGCTTTCATATTTTTAAAACCAAATGCTCTTTAGAACTCTAATGCAAAACATCACCCAAGGCTTTTACAATTTTATCAGGTCCTGCTATTCAAGGGCAACTTGAAAGAATAGAATGATAGAAAAGAATGCAGTTTTTTAAAAATAAATTTGAACGTGAAAGGGAAATAGGTCATTTAGCAGTCATATTGTACACCACACTTCAACCACAATAGTTTTCCATTCCAGGGATGGGGATGGGAATGGGAATGGACTAAGTCTGTGGGATAGACCTCGAAGATGAGCAAAGTTTACACCTGTGCTGCCCAATATGGCACCAACAGCCACCAGGGGCTATGGAGCAGTGGAAATGTGGCTAGTCCTGAGATGTGATGTGCATATATAACACAGTTTTGAAGATTTTATAGGAAAAAACCCTATAAAGTATCTCATTAATAATGTGGATATTAGCGGCATCTGTAGCTCAGTGGGTAGAGCACCAGACGCATACACCAAGGCTGGCAGATTCCAATCTGGCCCAAGCCAGCTAAATAACAATGACAACTGTGGCAGATTCCAATCTGGCCCAAGCCAGCTAAATAACAGTGACAACTGTGACAGAAAAATAGCTGGGTGTTGTGGTGGGTGCCTGCAGTCCCAGTTACTTGGGAGGCTGAGGCAAGAGAATCACTTAAGCCTAAGAGTTTGAGGTTGCTGTGAGCTGTGATGCCATAGCACTC